AAGTGGTGCTGTGAGGACAGCTGCATGTACAGTAGTTACAGCTACAGTATAACCATTGAAGTGAGGCAAGTTCAGGTTCATCCAAATGCAAAGACAACTTGCCAGGGTTTGTGAAAATACTGTTTTAACAGCACCAGGCGATGGGTTGGGCAGTAGAGAAACAGGACTGAAGCATGTTAGCAGTTCATTTCAATGCTCTTCCATTCTTAGATTTTTTGCTGTTTCCAGTCCACATAGATGAATATAAGACTTGTCTCACAACTGCAGTTCCATTTATGCTCTCACTGTTTTATACCGACACAGTTTGCACAGCCTCTATGCTACCATAAATGTAATCACATTTGAGGACGATTTGAGATATAGAAGAAGTTGTGAAGAAATACTGAAGCATTCGTTTAATCTACAGGTAATGCGAGTAATATTTTCTGTGTATGCTAAATAGCACCTTTGCATTTTTATTTTATGTCAGTTTACAGATTATACATAAAAAGGTTATTCCCCCATGACTTGGAAAATGAGCCTCACAACCATGGCAGAATTTTTGTTTTGTTTTGTCAGATTTGTTGTAACAAGCTAATCCAATCAGATATGTAGAAAACACTGTAAGAGCTTTCACATGTGTTAAAGATTATCAATAAACTTAAAGAAGCACCAGTCAAAATATAATCTGTCCACCATAAAACCAATATAGTGAGAATGCACTAACAAAAATGTAGATGATGTTTAAATCAATATCATACAGGTCCTGAAGACTGAAAAAACCGCCTGGCCACCATTCATTTATTTCCTACCACAGTCAACTAAAAGTGCTCTTTTCATACTTATAAAACAGGATGTATAAAGAAAGTATCAAGATGGCTTGATAAAGTGGGGCATGAATTCAAACATAATTGCATTGGATCTACTGGTATCAATGATGCTTCCCAAATTAAACAATTTAGGAAAGCAACGTCGATGACTTCTAAGTCCTATAAATTGCTCATAAAGTAATACTAAAAACTGTAAAGTAATACACTATATTTTTAAAGTTAAAGTACTTCATTATTTAATTGATCACATCTACAATGTTTAAGTAGTTTACTGTACAACCTTTAAATGAAACTTGTTCTTGCAAAAGTCTACATTATGCCAAGAGGATCAACTTTATCAAACAGACTTTAATTCAGTTTTAATTCAACTCAATTTTGTCGATATGTACTGTACTTGAAACACCATATATTTACAAGGCCTTGCAAAAGAGTTCCATGCTCTTATAATGAAGTCATACTGAATTCCAATGGTGTTTTTGATGTGAAAGCCTGAAACCAAAACTTGAAAGCTCAACCTGAACATTTTCAAGGGTGAAAGACGTTAAATGTCAGCAAAAACTAAAATTTGCCCATTCAGCAAATATTCCTGCTCTTAGTCAATACTTGGTAGAAGCAGTGACAGCTCAGAACCCTTTTTTTCAGATGCCTCTTATTTTACATTTTCACACAACCGCAATTTTGACTGTTTCCATCACGGTGTTGTACGGGAGTTTCGACAGTTGCACAACCAGGAAAACTGTAAGGAGTCGTGTCCAGAGCCTCGCATACAGTGAGTATACTAGGCTGTGAACTCCCTTCGCTTTCCACAAGTCATACTTCCAGCCGTGCCTATGGGATTATTTCAAAACCCTCTCATCCGGCTTGTATTCTTTTTAGCTCCTCCCTTCAGGACAACATTGCAAATTGATCCTTTCGAGAACCGCCCGCTCCAGCCTCCAAAGCTTCTTTTCCACTGCCATACGAATTTTGAACTCTCCCCCTCCAGCATTTCAGCCGCCTGTGAGCAGCTCTTCAGCGGCACTTCTGTTTGCCGCATGTCAGGGTAACGTTTACGCCGTGATGGTGTTTTGCCTGTCTTTTCATTTCAATGTAGACTTTTTTAACATTCCGTGTGCTGTCCATCCCCTCCATCAGTGCTAACTTGCTGAACCGAAAGCAAATTCCTTCCAACTACTGCTGTGTGATAGTAAAGAGGTAGAATTCTGTTGGCTTTGCACGCCAGCTTGGTGCAAGTTTCCCTACCCGATTTCAGGCAGGGTTTTGGGCTACTCAAGGACAGTCACTTTCTTCCTGCGTCCACCACTGCAGTGCAGCCTGGGCCTTGTGTGTGCTGGGTCGTGGCTCTGTCTTGTCTGACTGTGAAAGCTTGTGCTCCATGCTTGCAGTATTACCTTCCGACTGTACCTCCTCATAACTACTCACCGACATTCAAAGACAGCAAAAGAAAACATCACACACAGCTGCTTTGGGACTGATCAAACACACACTATTTAAAATAAACAACAACTCATTCTTCAGACAGAGAAACCAAGTGATTTCTTGTTAAATTTCTGAAGGTTCCTCCCAAACCAAAACGACCCTCGTTTTCTTCAGATGTGGCTAGCGGACATTTTAAGAAGGGAAAAGCTGCAGTACAAAACACCATCAATAAAGGTTAGCTGGTAAACCCCTCCTTTGATGATCTACATACTCATACAATTTGTCATTTTAAAATGTTAGAAATGTTTTATCGTACATCCTTCATTTTGGCTCTGAAACACATTTTCTTTAACCTTTTGAAGTGTTTAATCTATAACTGACAGTTAGCGTCAAATCTAATTTGTCAGTCATTTCTACTGGGTGTAGAAATTTCCCTACTACAGTATATTTGAGCTTCTGTACCAATGCGAAGACCAGACAGAAACACATTTTACAGTTTAAAATGCTGATTGCATAGTGTATTCATGTGCTAAGATAGAAAGGTTGCTAATGAAAAAGACATACAGTAAGTGTTCATGCTGATACGTTGCTTACATATTCTGGACAATGTGGGGAAGCAATCAAGTAGGAAAAAAATATAAAGTGTATATCTGACATCACATCAATCGGATCTATTGGTATTAACTGCTAATCACATATAGCAAAGAAACAAGAACTCATTAAAATACTCACACCTTTACAGCACTGGTTCAAATCTCAATAAAACAAAAACAGGGGGACACAATGGTAGAAAGATCCAGCAGCAAGTCTTTAAACTACACATTCTCACTTAAAACTGCTTTAAAAAGTAATTCCATAGCGTACAGTTCTAATCAGAAAACACAGGTTTGCTGTCAATGTGTTGAAATGATTTCAGATGAGTCTTATATGGTTCATTGTACAATCCTTGTTTTTCCTTAAATTACACCAATTACAAACACATGAAACACAACAACAAGAACAAAATGAAGAGATGTACATCGACTGTGGCTAAACCAGTAATCATTATGTCACAATCCTACTGGTGCACAAGATGCAGGAAAATCGGAAAGGAAAATAATGTGTGGCTATGAAAACAAACTGCACAGCATTTGCCATGAAATGGCTGAGAAGGTTCGCTTAAAATATCACCTGTTGGATAATATGCGACACTGTCTAGTGTATAGTTTCGACCACGCTGAATAATCAAACTCATTTTAAGACCCTTTGTTGAAATCATGCCATAGAATACAGAGAATGGCATACAGTACTAGACCTGTGACTGCTTCTGGAACTTTAAGGTTCTGTATCAGCAGACATGCCTGTTGGAATGCGTAAGTATAACAGGTAAAAGCCTTTAGCTACACCTGTATGCTTGTCCAAGACAACAGAGCTGATAGTATTATCCTGTATAACATCTTCTCATTTTATATTTTACAGCTGTAGTGCAACAGCTACAAAAATCCTTAAAAGGGATAATAATAATAATAATAATAATAATAATAATAATTGCTTACACTTATATAGTGCTTTTCTGGACACTCCACTCAAAGTGCTTTACAGGTAATAAGGATCCCCACCACCCCCACCAGTGTGCAGCCCCACCTAAATGATGCGACAGCAGCCATTGTGCACCAGAGCGCTCACCACACACCAGCTCTCAGTGGGGAGGAGAGCAGAGTGATGAAGCCAGTTCAGAGATGAGGATTATTAGGAGGCCATGATTGGTAATTTGGCCAGGACGCCGGGGTTACACCCCTACTCTTTTTGAGAAACGCCATGGGATTGTTATTGACCATTGAGAGTCAGGGGACTTCAGTTTTACATCTCATCCAAAGGACGGCGCCTGTTTACACTATAGTGTCCCCATCACTATACTGGGGCATTAGGACCCACATGGACCGCAAGGTGAGCGCCACCCTGCTGGCCCCACTAACACCTCTTCCAGCAGCAACCTTAGTTTTTCCCAGGAGGTCTCCCATCCAGGTACTGACCCGGCTCACAGCTGCTGAGCTTCAGTGGGTTGCCAGTTGTGAGTTGCAGAGTGATATGGCTGCTGGATGAAAAAGTCCCCTCAATCCACAGATATGCCAGTCTTTTCCCTTACCTTTTGTTTTTGCAACTAAACCTGTAGCACAAAAAACTACCAAGAAAACTGTGGATGTTGATTCCTATTTTATTTATTCCTTTTTTATCCATTTGCAATATTCTCATACCACCTATAATCCATGTGGTGCTGCCAGAAGAACTGCAGCCACCACAGATTCCCTCCTTGGTAGGATGTCTATCATGCAGAAGAGACTCCACTGACAGGGTCTATTGCTTGGGACATGGGAGATGTCTTGTTCCAGACCATGGCTGGAAACTGACAGGACTGCATAGCAAACAGGAAAGCAGTGGTTCCCTCACTCTGCTGCCATTCTCAGAACATGGCCTGTATTCACAACACTGGCGGCTGAGGATTAAATTAAGATGCACTGAATTCCAAATGCACCATTGGAACAAATCGTATAAATGATAGCCAATGAAATCATATAAATGCATCGTTTTAAGGTCAATGATTCAGAACAAGGGATAGGCACCATTGAGAAGTATGTTTATTTCATCCATGTTTCCCCACAGTGTCAAATGAGAAAAATATTTATTACTGAAGTCAATTTGAAGGAAAAAAAAAATGTCAATGTGTTTTGTAAGCATTATGAGCCAAGGGAAAATAGACAAGTTGGAACACATATCGTAAAGTCAGCAACGAACCTGCTGGTGGGGGGCAGTCTTTCCAGTCAAAGTATCCTGCGTACATCCCTGGTTCCAAAGAACCCACAATGGGATCTGCTTTCATTTCAATGTAGGACTCAAACAGCCTCTGGTCCAGGCCCCTCACTGACTCAACACTGACCTGCAAAAATAAAGGAGAATCAATGTTTTTTTTTCACTCCCACGAGTACAGTTACTGTATGCATCATACAATAAATTAAATGAACACTGCTTGTATATACAGTACCGCATGTCTAAGCTCTTTGTTCTTGTGGAGTTCTACTTCTACTCTTTGTGCCAATAATCCACACTGAAGTGGCTTACTGGAATGAAATTACAGGTATTTAAAAACGACGTGTCTCTCAGGCACTCACACATTGTCACCTTGCAGCTATTGCCAACAATTTGATTCTGGCTCGACATTAACTACAACCTATAGACGGCAAGTCTGAGATTAAAACACAGGCATTGTTACTTCCACCACTAGGCAGCTTCGTTTTCATACCTGACGTTATACTTGTCCCATAATATTTTCCAAATTTCAAACTGCGATTCTTTTTGACACGGTCAATGGACATGCGTTCATCAAAACACGTTGTGCGGCTGTTGATCCAGTTACAATTTTCTGAAAGCTAAGACAGGAAAATGTAGGCCCACACATATGGTACAGTACATTAAGAGGATTTCTGGGAAGGAGTCTGCACTCTTGTTCAACTCTCTTCAAAGCTGAGCTGCCATCTGTTTTTAAAACATTCTCACAGGTCAAAAAAGGAGAAAAGCATTTCTACTGTACAAGCATGCAGCTTGGGTAAATTAGTTGAGTACATCATGGCTCTGCTTTAGGACTACTCTTCTTTGTCACTTATATCAAATATCAAGATTCAGGTAGAGTTAACCAGTCATGTATTTCAGTAGTAGCACATCCTATGACTTAAAAAAGTGAAGGAGTCATTTAACAGACATGAACACGTGTTGTTTCAATACACTTATTTTATATTAATGTTATGGCTTCAGTGTTAAAGGCTAAAATGTTAACCCTAATGTATCAGAAACAGTATTTTTATTGCTCACTCTCTTTGTGAGGGTTTGCAAAAAAGTTTCAATTTTGATAAGAGGTTAAAAAAAAGATCATTTCATCTTACAGTGAAGTATTTACTATTTGATGTATGAGAAATATAACACCTTTAAGAACTAAGGTAAAGGAATGAAACTAATTTAAAATTGTTATACTTTCTAAATGAAGTGTTCTAGTATTTTTGTATGCAGCATAAATTACAATATTTCACATGTTTAGAATGTGATCATACAACTATAGAATTTTACATGGAAGTTTAAGAACAGCTTTGTGATTTTCATCACTAATATTTTCCATATAAAAAAGGAAGAAAAATATAACTGATGTCAGTATACTACAGTAAAGAGTGCTGAAGAAATGACTGATGGTCTTCAGTGATGATGATGTGAATGGTGCTTTAACACTCATAAAATGTGTTTACTTTAAGTTCACTAAGAACATAAACCTAATACTGTTATTAGTTTTGAATTCCTACATGATTCAAGGTTCTGGTGCACTTGTTACTTTCTCATCTTTTGATCTTTTGATCGCCTAGTGCAATTCTGGAGTAAAACCAGGTCTCCTGGTTAAGAAACTCACTGTATTTTCTCTGCCAACCTTCTTCAACGTGCTTCATGAACTGCACCCACAGTTCTCCAAGAACACCCGGCGTGTTCTGGAGTTCATACATTTTGTAAACAAGTTGGCTCTGTGTTCAAAAGGACACTTCGTAGCAAACCTCCTCTGAAGCTCCTAATATTCACTGGACTCACAGTTTGTACTTAGCATGTGAATGAAAGTTAATGCTGTTGTGTTAACAAGGACAAGAGGACAGATGCGTATTTTTATAAGGTCCTGGATATTGGAGGTGGGAAGCATAAGAGGGAACATCAGAACAAAAACATAAGAGACATCCAGTTGCCCCATCTATCTCATTAAATCTTTTCTTCAGAGAAGATAGGGTTTCTCGTTCTGGAATCCCACAAAACTCCAAGTAAAAAATGCCTTTTGTTCTCAGCTTTAAAATATAGGTTACATAAAAGGTTGTCCAGGAGGGTCCCTGATCACAACTTTGCCCTGTTTTTATTTTAGGACTGTTAGCTAAAGGTTCATCGAAATCCTTTAAAGAATGGTTCAGTAACACAGTAACAATGGTGAGAGAAGAGAAATGTGCTTGTGAAGCATCATTACCTACTGCTCAAACAGTGTGTGGCTGCAGAGAGGCAGACTTAATCAAAGTTTAAGTATACTGAATGTAAATGGCACCCATCCCAATGAAACCCAACATTACCCCCCATTGAACACCTCTTGTTTCTGAAAAATGTGACCCAGTCTTCTAGTTCTATTGCATCTTTAGTTCTGTGGCTTCTGTCCTTTCCAGAATGAATTTGGATACACTCTTATGATATGGATTTGCACAACTTCAACACACAGGTCAGTCACTGTCTTCAGAAGCATCTCCACTGCCTGTCGCGTGCTCCTCACAGGGATGCCTCAGCTTGCCCATGACTTGCCTCTGTCACTAACAGCATCTCGTCTGCCTGACATGAAGCTCTGGTTGACATCAAATTCCCTGAAGCCAAAAAAGCGAGCTTCACTGTAATGGCCACTGTCTCCCATTGCTTCACCGCATCGCTTCTTGTCTGGAATCAGGGCGTCACACCCGACCAGCTCCTGTCTTTTGAGCACCAAGTGAAAAATTTCATCAAGACATCTTTTTTTAAGAAATATTTTCCGCATTAGGCGATTTCTATCAATGTCCAAAATGAGTGGTTGATTTACGCATTCATAACATAAAGGCTTGATTTCTCCAACTCTTTACTCTATGGCATCTCTAACTGTGCTCTTGAGTTTGGAATGGTGCATTATAAATAAAAGTTGTTTTTATTATTATTATTATTATTATACATGTGCTTGCAACTTGTCCCAACGTGCATTTACAATATCTGTTGTAGATAATCACACACGCACCATCACTGAACACTTACAGGACTAGAAAAACATTCATCAGATGTTGTACGCAAATTTCATCACAAATTTGTTTAATTCTTATTAGGTCACACTTTTGCTCCTGATTGCCTGCATGCCAGCATTTGTTTAAAACACTCAAGGTTGTCTGTGTGGAAAAGTGAGGAGGGAGAAGCCTGCTGTTCAGGGCCAATGTGCTATACAGCACTGAGGCACCATCACACTAGTTCAGCTCCTGGTCTAGTTATATGTAAGATACCCTTACAAAACACACACCAAAAAGAATCCTCCTTAATGGTTCAGTGTAAATGACACTGCTTTTACACAATGGTACATTTTTAAAGGTATTCCGAGTTGCATATTGCACTGCAAATAAGCAATACAAAAACATATCTTCAGTTCACTGCTGACTGAGACGTCCGTCTGGGGACGCAGCTCTTCGTGCAGGATTACCAACACTGGGATGGGCTCAGGGTTACCGTTATGGAGGTTAAAACCCTCACAGGATACGCATCAGTTAAGGAATTACATAAAAAGTGCAAACTATGAGCTGGAAGAAATAAAGAGGGAGATTGGGCAAGAGACTGGGCGGAGCGGTGTCTCTGTGGCTCAGGATCTGCGCCTGTTACTGGAAGGTTGCCGGTTCAAACCCCGCGGCCGGCAGAGGAATCCTACTCCGTTGGGCCCCTGAACAAGGCCCTTAACCCTAACTGCGCCGTACAATGGCAGACCCTGCGCTCTGACCCCAAGCTTCTCTCCCTGTCTGTGTCTCCATGGAGAAAAGCTGGGGTATGCGAAAAGACGAATTCCTAATGCAAGAAATTGTATAGAGCTAATAAAGAAACAATAATAATAATATTATTATTATTATTAAAGGTAATAAAAAATGTATATAGCAAAACAAAACCATGTATTTTCCAGAAAACAACCACATTAACAAGAACTGATTAGATACAGAGGAGAATTTATATATAGGTGACACATCAGCAAGCACTGAGTACAGTAGAAGGAAAGATGGCTGTAGTGAATCATGTGAAAGACAGATAAAGCAGACAGTTAACATGAGTTTATCAGTACAGTGGAAAAACTAGGAAAACTACACTACAGTATGTCTAAGCGTATGACATGGCTGGTTTTTACAAAAAAAACATCTCTCATTAAGGAATACAAAATCAAACAGAAAACCAAACCTACAATAATTCAATTCAATTTAAAGTCAATACTTACTACCAAAAACAGTGCAAAGTCAGTATTTCAGGCAAGTATCAACTACAAAAAAGCAAGGTAAAAGCAGCACTATAACATAAGCGCCGTCACCTTACCAGACAGCTCTCTGGGGATTTTCTGTACAGACGCCGAGGAGTCTCGGGGGTCGCTAAAAACCCTTAATGAAAACCCCTGGTGTGGGGGCATTTCAAATGTCTTCAGACACAGAGAATTACAAAGCTACGCCAAAACTGCAGTGAGAACAGGCTAGTGCCGTCTACCGGACAGGGCTAGTCAGGGTTGGAAGCCTTCACAGCAGGCCCTGCCATTATATCCTTGAGATGGGTGCTTCACTCCAGGTGCTAACTGGGCACCAGTGTGGAGCTTGGTTAGTGCTCACACCTGGAAGGTTGTGGGCTCAAATCTCTGGTGAAAGACTGCAGTTGTATCCTTGAGCAAGGTGTTGATATAGCAAAATCCAATAATAATCATTATCATCATCATAATCATTATCATCTAGCACTAGGAAGTTCCACCCATTTGCACCAGTTCACTCACCTGTAACTATGGGTGCCTGTGTTGCGCTGGATTAGCAACACCATCCAGAGGAGAGTCACGCACTCTTCACGCTACAGAATCTGGCACAAACGCCAGCCTGATGAGCCTCTGGCCACAAGTGAGGATGCTACAGCACTTACCAACCTTCCAGAACCACAGTTAGAAATAACCAGCACAAGGTAAAAGTTTAGGACAACTGACTCATATGCTTCGGCCACAAACAAAACTCAGCAGCGGACTGCAATGTGAAGAAATGGGAGAAAAAGAAACCCAGCACTTTAGCACGTGTTCTTGAGTTTTGCCAAGTGGCTGCACAAAAACTACACAAGTTTCTATTGGAAACTTTTCTGACAGATCAAGATCCTTCTCCATGCATGGCTTGCAACCTTGCCCAAGCAGCGACACTTTCGAGAAACCAGTTGAGGAAATTACCAAGTGTGCCGTTTCACATGTTTATTTGGTGGCATGATATGCATGATCTGTCACATTTGTGTTTAGGTTACAGTGTAGATTATGTAGAAGGAAGAATGAAAAGTGGATTTACAGTGAGAAAAAAAATATATAGCAAAGCATGGCTGAGCGGACCTTAAGAGCAGTTAGCCAAATACAGTATGTCCCTGAGATAATTCAGAACCTGAAACCACTGACTTATCTGACCTCAAAATCACTTGATGCTTTCCCAGATAAAATCAATTGGCATGACAAGCAAGAAGAAAATCATAGCGGGTTTCTCTGCTGAGGTATAAATTGCAGAGGAGCACAAACTCCTCCTGAGGTCTCAATGGAGAGGACTATCTTTGGAGGATGGATCTAAAGATTATCACATGTATTCAAAAATGAGACTGAAATCCACTCGACAAAACAGCTGGAAACAGGAACTTGCTTCAGAGTCCAAACCCCAAACAGGAGATCTCCCATAAATGTTGGAGTAAGGGAACAGAAAGTGGAGACGTATATAGAGGAACAACATATAAAGGGGAATTTTCAAAGTCATTTGCTGCTTCAGGGCAGATTTTCTTACACACACTGTTAATGAATTTAAAGTCAGTGATCAAACCTTGATCCACTGGCTTGATCAGCGACAAGGCACAACGATTCATAACCTAAGCCAAAGCCTAGGGTGCCTGGAAAAATGACGTACGTGTGGGTTTTTTTCTTTTACATCGAGCTCCTCAATTCATTATCGACATCGTTGCTAAATGACGGATAGCAGGGCGTCTCATTATGGGGACCGACTGCACTCTGCAAATCAAACGCATATGAAATCCGAAAACTGAAAAAAAAAAACTTGATTTGGTTCTTTCTTTCCTTCCTGTGGAGAAACTTGTATGAACTGGTCCAATACAGCCCATTAGTACTAGTATTGCTGCACCAGATACAGTGCTCTTTTGCTGGGGTGAATCTTGCTTGTTTGAGCACAGCAGCCTACTTACAAAGAAACCATTTTTGTTTCCTTTTCTACATTTTAGCATTTGTGCCACATCAGGACCCTCATTACTTTGGGAAAAGAGTCTTTGCATTTTGAAAAACAGAAAAAAAAACTTTGAATCTAGCTTTCTGCAGCAGCAGCTTCACAATCAAAGAACAGTGTAGCTAGTGCTGAGATATTACTCAGCAGCTGGGAAATGATTTCTACAAAAAGCAGTGCATTATAAAAATAGTTAATTTAGTGAAATAACTACTGAATGGGAATTTATATGGCTTGGTCCATTCTTGATTTGACTACTCAGGCTTTCAGAGTTTCTTCAAGCTAACTTTGCATAAGCAATCCTTCCTTGTTATGAATACATATTTGCAGATTTTTTGAGAATCATCCAGTTGTTTGTCATTCTCCATGCCGGAGCATTGAAAAGTACATGCAGAATGGCAGAAAGCAGCAGAAGCAATGAAAATGCATGTAAACAGACCTTTACTGACTTTTTCAAGAATTACAGGATCTTCTTTTAGGACATGTGAGGAGAATCATTCTCATCTAAGAATCATTACCAAACTGTAACTGGTGAAATGTTAAAAAGAAATGATAAAATTGCGTTTACACAAACACCTTACATAATTCTATATCTTTTATGGTACAAGTTAAACAGAAAACTTAAAAGGCCTAAAGGTTCTATAACCGGCCTTACAGCAAAGATCTTTTTTTTTTGTAATCATTCTTACTGGAAGAAATGTCTAACCTCTTTAAATCTAGGGTGGACTGAAATGACAGAACGTTTTTCATTACTCACTGTTACAATAAACTCACTGTGGATATTATCTCTAAATTATGTGTCCCTTTGCACAGGATTTCTCTTTTGGGTTTTTTTTTGCTCAGACACTCAGATGTTACTAGAGAGTAAGCTGGACTTCTCCACACAGTCATCAGTGTGTGCTTTGAGGGCCATCTCACTTCTTGTTACTCTGGTGAATAATCTTTTACAAAAACACAGGAAGAACCAAACATGACATCACGCCCACTTTCTAACCAAGATCTTTGAAAGTGTACTGTACCAATTCAGATTTTGAATGCATTTAGTAATGTTGTACAGTATGCTTTTTGTGTATTCTGAGCAAGGCATTTTTTAATAATTAAATGGATACAGATTTGGGAGACGGCGTATGAATATCTCACAAATACTCTAGCAAAGAGACCACATTTATTTCTATCTAGGCATCTTTAACAAGATTCTGGTTGTGCTTCTAATTTAAAATCTCTACAGAACAAGAGAATAAGAACAGTCAAGCCTTCTTTGGGTTTTATTGGTGATATATGCCAAACTAAATCCCAGGCTAAGATTAACAGAACAACTAAATTATTTGTTTTACTAAATAACTCTATTCAAATATTCTAATTACTAAGCTAGCAAGTACCGTGCTTGTAATAAGAAACTGAAATTAAAAATTCAGACTTAATTGTCCCTCTATCCAATTTACTGTAAAAACATGGAAACAGTTGGCATCCCTGCTTGCAACGGCATATAGCACATTTCAGAAAAAGAAAATGGAAAGGTTTTCAACTGCAAGAGGGCGTTCCATTTTTTATATGGCATATTATTCATATTATACCGTATAAGTCACAGTAATTTGTTCCCTCCAAGCAGGTGTTTGCGATATTACCTTTAAAGGCAATGTATTTTTCCGAAAGGGTTTTTGAAATGCGTGCGCATCATTTACCATTTTTAGGTTCTAGCACCGAATTTTGGAAAACATTCAGAGCCATTAATTGAATACAAGCTATAAGTGTTTCATAGCACTTGACTGCAAGAGGCACTACAGGGAACTGCTGGGATTATCGTGTCGGATGAAGAAAACCCATATTAGCAACTGCAGAGCCGCTAAATGCTTTCTTATCCAAAGAGGCTGTGCAGTTCAATGAACTAGAACTGTACATTTCAAACTGAGGTGGAGGCAGTTTGTGATCAGGACAAAATATTATTAATAACTGGAATGGGACTGATTTGTCTACACTGAGACCCCTCCTCCCGCTGCTCAGATCCCACTGGCCACCTTATTCCCCAGCTTTTACCGAAGTGCCGAACGAACACTGACAAACTCACCCGGGTTATTTTCTCTGTGCCTTGAAAGCCATGCTTTTCAAAATGCTCCGCCAGGTTCAGAAAGGTGTGCTTTTCCAGGTATTGGCAGTTGCTAAGAATGATCAGTAGTCTCTGCTCCTAAAACAACAAAGAACATCATCAGAGAAACATGAAAAAAACTGCCAAAATGTTTCTAACACAACTCTTCAGACCCAGAGAAGTCTATTGATTCATATAACTACTGATATGGGTGTGTATATACTGTATAGGGTGATTTTCACCCAACTGACTGGTATAAGCATTTAGATCTTTGTACAAAGCCAAAAAACAAATCCAAGGAAATAACACTTTGAGCACAGTAGAACACAACAATGGGCATTGACAATGGCACTGGAGAGCACAAATGAAGACAGAAATTTGGGATGGGATTGCTTGGAGTTTAAGATGTGCCCACAACTTCCAGCACAGTCCTGTTCTGGAAATGGGTTCCTTGAAATCCATGTCAGAAGCCCGGCGTCGCGATGGGCTATCTGATCAAATCCCATGGGTCTGTGAACTGTTAGGGACAGTTGAGCATCTGAGTATTGTCGACTACTTGACTCCTTGTCACTGTGGATATACTGTAAATGCAGCTGTTGAAGAACAAGTTGATTCTGTTTCACAGCAGTGCTTCAATTTGACTGGACAATTTCACAAGCGATTTGGCAGTACCCCGCCAGAATATAACTGATACCTACAGGAGGACACACTGAACAGTTTATTTGTAAACAGTACCTGATAGACTGACATGATAATTATGGTCCCTTAGATTTAATTTGTTTTAAAGTTCTAGTGTGCATGGATGTACAGTATATACAGTATATATATACAAAGCATACGTCAGTGGATATGAGTTGTTAACAAATCAAACATCAAACAAAAGGTTTGAACATAATAATCACTTGTCATTTTGTCACTGGGTTTTAATAATGTCTTACAGCATATTTATAATAATTTTACTTATTTTTTTACATATTCCCAAGCTCATCTTTTTGCAAATGAAAGGGGTTAAGGCCATAAGGTCAAAAGACTGCAAGATTAAGGTTCCTCCTGTGAACCCAGAGTTTTTAAAATGCTGAAGAACATACAAATCTTACTTTTCACTCTTTGGATTTACAGTGCATCGCCCACTTGTGCACCAGCAAAACCACCCTAAACGTTTATAGCTCCAGTCCTGCAGGTTTTATCAGTAATCATTCAATCACAAGTTCCTAAAGATCCCTTTTTGAAAAACTAAATTAAGTAATCTAGTGCTTATCTTTAACAAAAATCTGGACACCCTGCAGCTCTTAAGAACCAGAGTTCCCTTGACTCAACAAGCTGCTAGATTCATTAATCAACAATTTACTAATGTTCTGAATCTTTAGAAAAGGCATGTCAGGGTGACATCGCCGACAGTGTCTGTTGATCCTCAACCAGGAGCTGTTGAGTAACATCCAGCAAGGAGAGGAGAGGATGAGCACAGTTCTGCATGCCGAAGGTGCTGAAAACAGTACTCTTGAAGTGTGGGCATTCTGACACTAAGGACTGGAAAAAGCTTAATCAAGCTGATTGATTAAGATATCAATTAGCACGGGGGTTGGAGATTACAGCTGGAATGAAATTCAGTTCACAAAGTGTCCCCCAGGACCAGGGTTTGGAACCACTGGGATATTGTATTGTTATTTTAGAAGAAGAAATAGATTTAGCAGAGTACGCGAGATGATAGCCACCAAAATAAATTAGAAACAGACAATCATCTTTCGCACAACAGATTTTTTCTTTTGCAATTTTTCTTTGGATATGAGTAAGATTATCAGCTGTTCCTGTAATTTTCAACATTTTGTTTTTATTTAAAAGACCAAAAACAAAAAAAAAAGACATTTTCCAAGAAGCGGATACTTTCTACTCCTACTAATTAGCAACTTTCTGTCATAAATAATGTTTGCTGATTTTTGTTTATGTTGCTTTTCTCTACTCCTGACATGAACCGCTATTAAATTGATTTTGATAACAATTAAAACAGTATTAACTCTGAAATGTATTTCCCACTGATGTACTTTAAGAAGAGTAAAGCTTGGACAGTTTCCAGGATAGTTTCTGAGTGCTGAGTGTAAAGATTAGGTTTTGCAAAACAGACAACTGATGCTTTTTTTTTTTAATAGTAATTTAGAAAAACTAATGACTCAATAGGAATTAATACAATTTGCAAAGGATGGAAGAACAAATAGGATGATAACACTGGTAACCAGAAAGCATAATCATATTAAAAACTGTGTGATCCTTACTGATCAAATGCTTTCTAAAAGCAAGGCAGGACTAGAGGTCATATAAAGGCAAAGGGCAAGCAAGAGGTTTAGAAGAGTTAAACTTGAGCAAATGGAGATTTGTTGGCATGATAAGGAACCAGGACTGTTAAACAAGAGACACGGCTTCAATCCTTCATCTGGACGTCCTCCAGTAAGCACTGCTGCACTGTGCAGAGAAAGAATTATACAATTTATCAGCCACCATGATGCTAAAAAAATACCTCCATTGCACTTCAAATCATTCTAACTCAAAACACTTAGAGGTGTGACTGTGGTAATAATTACTCTCCTGAAAGCAGTGAAATTATCCTACATGAATTGTGCTGAGAGTATTTATAAAGCACAAGCGATGTGCACAGACCTGCAATGTGAAAAAAAAAATGTAATGAAATAATGAATGAGGGACAAAGACGATTTTTTATTTTTCTGTTCCATGATCAGTACACAGATGGTGCGAAGTGGTACAAAATACATAAAAACCATTACTGAAGTAGAACAACAGGCCATCAAATAACAAATCTGCAGAGTTAGGTTGCAAGATTTCCATTAATGGTGCCTTGAGAATCATCTCTCCAAAGCAAACCACTGACCAAGGCAGATATCACACTTTTTGAACATCTCATGAGAAAATTCGGAGGAAGTATCTCCATAATGTGAATGATTCATCCAGCTTGAATTCTTGCTGATAGAGCTTCAGACTAAGTGCTGCAGGGAAACTTATTGGTTTTATAGCACGGGTAGGGGAAACCCCTAGTCTCTAAAGGAGGAGAGCCTTGTAGGCTTATATTACTTTATATGAGCATTTCATTTACAAGAATCATTCCTTTGTACTCCTCCTCCATTCAGGTACATTTGCTCTAATTTTAATAAAAACAGGTTGCAGGAATTGGCACATCTATTAAAAGATTTGTATCGGGCAGCTTTCATGAGACTTTTCTTTCTGAGGAGTGTTTAGAGAGTGAGCCAGAAAACCACAAGGGGGTCTCCTCTCCTTGAGACCATGTGGGATTCTGAACCTCTTGCTTTATTAGTTATTATTATTATAATAATAATATTATTATTATTTTCAGTCTGCAGCCTGGGGACGAAAGGGACGCAGATGCTGTGTAACGGATTACTTTTTTGTTTATGGTAAAAAAATATCACACCTGGTCACCCATGTGACTCCAGAGATAAAGGCACAAGCTCTGTGGATCCCAGGTTCAAGCCTGGGCCATGTCATCAAATCAGCTGTGAGCGGTAGGGCACAGCTGAATGGGTGTCTACAAGAGGAGGGCGGGATAAGTCTAGGGCTTTCCTGACTTCCAGCGACACAGCGCCCCCTGTGGCCAAACGGGTGCCGGTGGTACTGCTGGTGAGCGAAGCGACCTGTCCTCCGTGTGGCGCTGAACCTCCAGTACACACAGTATGGTGTATGTGAGGTGTTAAGAGACTCAGATAGAGGGTGGGGGCAGAGGTGTTGGCCTACACATCCTCATTCTGCCTGTGAGCGGTCACAAGGATCGTGAAAGAAACAATGACTTGGATGTTCCACATTGGGAGGTGAGGACCAACAATAATCGATTTAAATATAGTGGAGAAAAGCAATTAAACTGCTTCAGCTATACAGGTAAGCCTGGCAATGAATGTGCAGCTGTAACAGTTGTCACGGTCAGGGAGTGGTGGTGTGGTGACATACTGTATCTGTCACTGCAATCATTCAAAAACATGAATGTATTGCAACAGTGTAAAATTGACAGAAAGTGTAGTTAGAATGCTTTTGGATAGATTGCCACTGTACTTACAGGAGAGGGGCTGAAGTCTTCATGAATACTGCCAAACAGATCAGGTGATGCAACGTCCATTGGCATGCTTAAAGAAAGACAAAGAAAAAAAGACTTTGTTTTGTCGGATTAAATGTATAACAAATATAACAAATCTACAGGGTCACATTTTATGATTTCCATTAATGGCGCCTTGAGAAACATCTCTCCAAAGCACATCTCTGACAAAGACGTAAACCACACAATGTTCAATTAACTTTCCCTGTTAATTCATGTTAATTTTCCCTGTTTAGTCAGATTTCTTGAATGCAGGTATTTTCATGCTCATTTTTATGTATTTTCTTATCATAAATCACCTTAGAAAAATACAGTTTTCTTGTGTTAAATTTTGAATAATCTGCAAGTACGCAATATAATCCTCTTTGCCTACTGTGCACTACTACTGATTTGGACCAGGCCTCCAGACAGCACAGAACTGAAGCTACGCATTGTACTGGAATATTTTGATAACATCAAGTCCTCATAATTGAGGCATCTATTCTCACAATAGAGGCATTTTATAAATATAAAGATAAAATAGCCTGAAACTTAATATTTTATCAGAACATAAGTTTACAGATAAAATAAGCCACATAAATGGCTAAAAAGAAATAATATGAAAAAATTCAGAAGAAAGAGAGCACTCGAAAGACATTGTTATTAGGGTCCATGATTCAAAGACAAAGCAGACTTAGCAACAGGAGCAGCTGAAGATGGGAGATTAGACTTATGAAGAGGGAGATAATACTGCAGTAGGGGGCAAGGAATAACGAATATAATTTTTACAACAATTAAAAAATGTAAAGGCATAAGTAAACATGTATTCTGAAATTATGTGAACTGCTATTATTGTACACTGACAGAGTCCACTCAAGTAACTGTGTGGCTCATCAAGGTAAGTTTGCACCCCTCAATTCCTTTGTGTTTGCTACAGCAAAGGGTATGAACTATACTTATGTCATTATTACCTTTTCATTTTTCTTTCCCATTATGTATCTACTTGTCTTTGTTTTTTGCTTTGAAATACTGGAGTACGTCATGTCTATAACAAATGAGGACTGCTGCTCCAAAGCGTCATGATTGAAGCTTTAAAGCAACAAAATGTGAAAACCGAGCCAGGGCCCAAATACTTCGGCAGGACAGTTAATTGTATCGTTAAGTCATTAAAATAAAATAATGAAATAATGCACTGAGACATTCCTTCACAAAAGCACTTACTGTGATGTGTCTATGTCACCATCGGTTTTGGTACTTAACTGTTCGAGGCAGTTTATAAACACCTAAAGCCAAAAAGAGAAAATCAGAATTATTAAATGATTAAATGGCATTGGCATATTTTTTTTACATGTTGCTGAAAATTGAAAAAATAACAAAAATCCCCTTTGGTGTCTAAAGCCAAAGAGAAAGAAACAACCTTGTTCCATTGTAGAACTGTTAAAATAACCTTCATAGCTGTTAATTTCAATATTGCTATGTGTTTTACTCTTTAAGTAGTGATGTCAGATTCAAAACGGAACGAAACACAAAGTAAAACATATTGAAAAGTACCCAGAATAAAACATATTGTATAAAATAATCCACGAACTACATACATCCATGTATGTATTGCAACATACATGTAGTAATTCACACACGGCTTTCAAAATCAATTTTCCTGTGACCTACACGTTACATCAGGGAGAGAAAGAGACAGAGTTTTAAAACCTGTGGCGAAGGGGAATGCATGTTGAAGGCATACAGGGTAAGAAGAGGAAGATGGAGGCAGAGAGATCTGGGGGAGTCTCTCTTAGACATGTCTTTTTATATCTGAAAGCTGGAGATGTGCATTTCACGCATTTCCAGGTGCTCATTTCAGTAAAAAATTTAGAAAACCATGAACACCTGTCTACTATACCAAAAGGTTTTTATCAACAGTAAGAATCAGTAATCTACACAGGTTTCTAAAACAAATGACATTAAGTGATGTTTAAAAGATAGTGTCAAGATATTTTAAGTATAAATCAGAAATGGGTTCTACTCCATAAAATGCAGAAGATTCAGTTTCATGTTTTATACATAATACAAAAAAAAGGGAAGGAAGTTTTTCTGCTTTGTAAAAAAGATACAGCTGAAAAGGTCTACCTGTTCTTAACAGAAAGTAAGAAAGCATGAATAGTGGTACACACTTAGCCCCGTTATTTCTGAATCACTGCTGGGATGAGCTTCCTGTCAGTTTTTCTCAGGTATTTTGATAGGCACCTACACAGTTCTGCTATCTATGGAAACTAAACACTTGGGGGCCTACCCCTGGAACAACGAGGCCAATCGAATACAAATACTTATGAGCTGTGCAACACAGAAAAGATGAGTTACCCCTCAGAAAACCTAGAGGAGAATTTAAGTCATGAGGCATGAGGTGGAGGTTAAAATCATGTGTGTCAAACCCAACACATGACAAAAATTTAACCAGACTAGAACATTTCACGTTTTATTTATGCAGTACTTTCAGCAATACATCTGAGTGCATCAGAGCCACATAGTAGCATTTTAAGAACACAGAGAATTTAGAAGTGGGGTAGATTCTGAGCAAAGTGCAGCTTGAGCATGCTCAAGTATAAGTTTTCCGGTTGATCAGATATCATGTGTATTTCCATGCAGCTCTGGGATCAAGAAAGGGAAAAAAGGGACACACATGTGCCTGAGCACAACACCATGCATTGCAAAATGAGCGGTGAGGCCCCTGATCTACAGGGTCTGAGATATTACTAGTGACAAGCAGTGAGGTGACCACTGCTGTTCAGGTAAGAATCAAGACGGATGCAAATCTCAAAGCCAAAAACTAGACGAACAAAGAGAGCATTTTAGGCATTTAGTCAGCTAAATGGGAACAGATTTAATTTGGAACTGCATTGTCTAATGAAAGGCAAACGTTCGAATAATCCCAATCTGCTGTGGGGGTCTGCAGGGCACAAGAAGGGGGCTCTGACAGAGCACAACTGGGAGAAAAGCACGTGTGGTCCTCTCCTCACACCCCTCTGGGATGAGGGATAGGGATAGGGACCCACTGCCAAGTTTTCCCATTCTTAATTGAGGGGAATTAAAAAAAATACTAGAGATGACACATTTAAAAACAAAACATTTAGACCCACGTTGTGCAATGTTATGCTGAAATAACTATCGCAGCAGAGATTATACATGTGTGTACTGTAGGTGTTTGCATAATCAACGCAGGACTGTAATCTGCGACATCAGCCTTCCATGGCACACTGATGATACACTGAGCCCAAGGCTAGCTCTCCTCCAAATCAGCCCTTCCACGACAAAGGACTAACATTGTTATAACATTATAGCATTAACATAGCACTGCACCCATTACATGCATAGATCTTTCACAAGGCCATTAAAAAGCCATGATTTCAATGCAAATCTATACATGTATGGCTAAATCCTATAGTGACTTTCCTTATGATTGTCCCTAAGAATGTATGACATGTTTACAAATGTTAGGAGGCCATGCAGCCCATCTAGTCCAGTTTGGAGATAGTAGCCAAATCATCAGAGGATCTCATCCAGTCATTTTCTTTGAAGGAACCCAGGGTATCAGCTTCATCTTCATGCTCAGCAAAGCAAAAATGTGTGTGCAAGACTCAAAAAATGAGTATGCTTCGTACAAAGTACAAGTACAAAAAAACCCCTTTTTGGTAACAGAGGCAATATCAGTTTTAGTCACTATGGGTTGTGAACAGTAAAAGGCGGCAAAATTGTAAATTCCTTTCTAAAAGAAAGTTCATGAAAGATAAACTGTTTCCTTTTAAATGCTTTCATAACAACAACAGACACAAGTTGTGCTCCTCTGTGTGCATGGTATACAGAGACACACAGTGAAAATACAAACTAATCTTCTGCAATAATATCACTTTCAATTAAAAGGAGTATCAAGCACATGTACTGAATAATCAAACCAGCACTTTAAGAATGAATCCCCATCCAAGTCCTAAATCTCTGACTCTTAATCTCTGGCTTTGTAGGATGCCTGTGCTTTTTGGCTTTCATGTCAGCTAAACTCCCAACACCTGACTTGATTCAAGCTTTCCAACCTGTTTCCTCATTCAGTCTCTGGTTTCAGAATCACCAGCTGAAGGTGTATTGCTTTTAGGAGATGGAGCAAACAGACCTCTCTCCAGTCTTTCCCCAACATACTGAACTAGTGGTCTGCTCCCGTGTTTCTCTAAGAGGCTTTTAATAAGTGACCAATTAATTATGTCAATTTAATAAATTACAATTAATTTATTTAATGACAATTAATAAATTCCACACGCTTGAATAGCGTTGGTTCTGAAACTGGGAAATTAGTACAGAGTTGATGCTAATTACAAACCTCATTTCACTTTATAAATGAGAGGTCCCGGAAAGCAAGTAAACTAGTTAGCCTCAGGGATAAAAAAAATCCCTTGGGGATTCCTCCGGGACCAGGGCTGAAAACCACTGTTAGTCAGTAGACATTCTGAGAAAAATACAGTGTCCTTTACCTTCATTATTCCAACACAGAGCTCGCCAGCTTTGTCTTGGGTTCTCTCCTGCTGAAAAATCTTCAAAAGAAATTTTGAGAGACAACTAAGAACAAGAAAATGGTGACCAAACAAAAAGTAAAGGCCATAGCTGCAGAATACCTCTTGTGCTACTGTTTACAGTCTGACCCCTTCAGCTCATGCAACTACCTGCAAACATTGGCAAAGGAAAAACAACACCATTCCCTGTTGAGATTTTTCTAAAATTTAGAATTGCCAAGTTATTATTTTTGTTATGCCGACTTTCAAACAGCCACTGGCGTGTTTTTTACACCCCAGCTTACAGCTGCAAGCCTGGGACTGGACACAGTGCAGAAGGAGGGAGTGCAATGAGTGGAAGGACTGATGTCTTTGATGTTATAGTCCTGCAGACCTATACAGAAGGCCCAAGGCAGACTGAAGGAGCTCGCATCATGGAAGGATGCAAGAAGCTATAACGCAGTTCGGTGCTGTTTTGAGGTTCTTTAACTGCTGGCCGTCAGGAGAGCAAAACAAACCTTATGTCTACTCTGTTCTACTATGCAATCACTTTTGAGGGCATTTTATGATCCTAGCACGGTCCTTGCATTGCAAACATGTCGCCTGCTTCTGTAACCTAAAAAACGTGAAGAGAGGTTACTGCATTGGCGACACCTGAGAGAGCCCAGGCTGACTACTCCCACCTGTAGGGCTAGGTCTGTGTGTGAAAGGGTTCATTCTAAATTTGGATATGCTCTGTGCATGTTGAAAAAGAGACACTTGTGTGGAATGTTAGAAGAAAGAGACTGTAACATTCTGGAGCAGAGTGAGAAATAGATGTCTTGATTTGGTGCTTTAATATATGCCCAATGACTTGCTCCTGAATGCGACATTTGTGGCAACTGAAATAGATGTTCTGATGTATGAAAAAAAATGTATTTGTAATGTATTTAGAGGATAGTAGGAAAAAGATGCATTTGTATCATTGTTTTTGCTGGGTTCAATTCTGGACCTGAGGTGATATCTGAGTGGGGCCAGCCGGGGGCGCTCACCCTGTGGTCTGTGTGGATTCTAATGCCCCCGTATAGTGACGGGAACACTACACTGTAAAAAGGTCAGGGTCCTTCAGAGAAGACATAAAACTGAGGTCCTGACTCTCTGGTCATGAAAAATCCCAGGGCGTTTCTCGAGAAGAGTAGGTGTGTAACCTTGGCATCCTGACCAAATTTCCCTTTGGCATTTACCAATCATGGCCTTCTAATAATCCCCATCTATGAATTGGCTTCATCACTCTGCTCTCCTCCCCACTGAGAGCTGGTGTGTGGGGAGTGCACAGGCGCACTATGGCTGCTGTTGCATCATCCAGGTGGGGCTGCACATTGGTGATGGTGGAGAGATCCCCATTACCTGTAAAGCGCTTTGAGTGGACTGCCCAGAAAAGTGCTACATAAGTGCAAGCAATTATTATAATTATATCTGTGTGGAGTTTGTATGTTCTCCCGAGGTTTATGTGGGTTTCCTCTCACAGTCTAAAGACATACTGGTAGGTTAAATAATTTTGGGAAAAAACTGGCCCTGGTGATAGAGTCTGTGTGTTTGTTTGTGTCTGTCCAGGGTGTGTTCTGCCAGGATGTAGCCTTACCTAAATAAAATGCAAAAGGTTCAGGACAATGAGAAAACAAAGGATGCAAAACTTTAGTTCTAGGCTTGAAAATAACATTCAAAATAAATGCATTGGTTTATGCATTGGGCACAAGTTAATAAACTAGGTTATTAACACTGTATTAATGCTCTATTCACCTGTGGGTTACAAAGAACATCTAATCTAAAATGTTATTGCCGTTATTTTAACTATAAGTTCCAAGCCCTAACCCTGTTATTTGGTTTCTGTTTCACGTGGCGAATTCCTGAATGTGTTTTGATACAGCCCACAATAGCAAACATTAATGAATATACAGGCTGTAGGCATGAATTCAAGAGTCAGATGCCACACAGGGAGAACTGCAATAACAGTGTATACTAATCTCCAGAATTATGTCTCAAAGCCTGTTTTATCTACTCGTACTGCATTGAGGAAAACTAGATCAGGTAGCTTACATTGACTTCCCCTGGTTTACAATCCATGGACTCCTTCAGAGACTGCAGGGTCTGAATCATGCACTGCTCAAACTGAGACGGCTGAAAATCAAAACAAGGCAGTCAGAGTGATCATGAGCTGTATCTGTGCAATTTAAACACACTTAAAACCAAGATATCCATGCCCTGTCATGGCACAGTACAACTCTAATAAATAAATCAGTAAATGAGGTTTGGTACAATAGGGCCAAGCTGGTGAAGGAAACACTTCAAAGTCATTAACTATGCACAGACACAGATTTTCTTAACGGCTATGCTGTATCTCGACCGACAGTATTTAAAGAGACAGACTAGCAGTCGAAATGTTGAGAGGCCCAAACTGCTACTTCCTGTTATTTCTGGCCCTTTTTATTCAAATTAAGAACATAAAGAAACACAAATGTGTACATAAAAATGTCAAAGATGGCTTTCGGATAGCTTCATTTGCAAGCATGTTGAGTGTCACTTGCTTAATCTAGGATTTAGTTTTGCATGATATGGTTTGTTAGCATGTTTGCTGAGGACACTGGCTTTCAAATTGTCACTAAATCACTGGACGTGAAATAATAAATGATGGGCTATAAAGAAGATTATCCATAAGATTCACACTATGAGGAAGGAAATACAAGAATGCTTCAATTTATTAAGAACAGAATGTTCCAAAGTGTTGCAATAGCGTCATTGTGTGGCTCCACCTACGAAAGTCTAATAGTTTTTTTAACCTATTAGCCAAAGCAAAAACCTAAAAGCAGATTGCATTATATATTCAATAAAAACAAAGATGTAAAGGCAGAAATGTTTCACTATAACAGGGATCTTTATGAAAGAAAAGTAAAACTGTAAAATAACTATTGGTATACCTAAAGATGTTCTAAAAAATTAATTAAATGCTTGATTTTTATTTCCTTTTGTCCACTCACTATTTTCATGTTTAAAAATATTACTACATGAACTTTCAAAAGGACAAACTTGAGCTCAACCTACCTCTATGGTAGAGTATTCATTTTTGTGTTTTATACGTACCAAAGATGTGATTCCCTCATTATCCACAACCCAGTCTTCTTTTTCTGCCAGACGTTTAACATCTGAAGAAAAAATATGAGCGCAATTATTCAGACGCTTTTCAGACCTTAATTCTATCTCAGTTGAACCTTTCGTAATAAAAGTGTGATATTCAAAGAAAAGGACAGGTATTTGCCTTCACTATATTATTATATTATATTCAGGCAATTCCTACAAAATGAAGCGTCTGGTTTGCAAGTTTTTTTCCCTTACATATTCTTAAGTATCTTCAGATACTGATGAAAGTTTGGATTTGTAATTCTTAGCGGACATTTGCAGAAAAACAGGTCGCTGTTACTAGTGGTTTTGGTGAACCAGTGGCAATCTTCCCTCTGAGCCAGCCGATGCTTCAGCATGCTGGTTTGAGATCATAAGTCCGAGGTGCTGCCCTTTGGATGAGACATTAAGGGAGATCTGGAAATTCCAGCCTGGGCTTGCACAGTTCGGTCTCCATAAGCATTCCCCTTAATTCAAAGCAGATCCTGACTTCTGCACCTGATCTGCTGAGCAGTGGGACACCTGGCACATCAGGGGTGTGAAGCCCAGGTGGGAACAGCACTCCAGTGGTGGATCAAGTGGGTGCCCTGCTACATGTCAAGTGCTTTGGAATAACAAGCACTACATAAATGCAGGTGATTATTATGTATTCAGATTCCCTTTCTCGGTTGGTATCTTGCCATTTCTACAGAGCTGTGAAACAGTGAAGCTGCCACTCACCACGTCAGTGTCACTCTGCGTATGGGATTTTGCACACTTGGTCAGCTGCTTACAGTATACAGTATGCTATTCGGGAGTTTGAACCAAACTCAAATGCATCTGGGACTGATGCATCAAAATGCACAGCTGAAAGATGACTTTTTCTTCTTTGTCTTTTGACAATGTTTTGTAGTAAATAAATTCCATACAGACGATTAAAAAAACGTTTAAACTTTCACCATACATAGGTGAACTCTTAACTGTATCACGACTGGTGCTTGTAAAACTCGTGCTTTCACACTGTGTGTCTTTAGATAGCATGTTCTTTAAGAAAAAAAAACCCTTTAGAAATTCTGAGAACACACAAAATGAATCAAGTTAATGCCACAAAAAGAGCTATGTCAGAATTAACCTGTCACATTGTACCACAAATCCCGCCCCCAAAATGAATTTAAAATGGTGTTTATTGCCATAAGTAAAGTCCAGGGTCCAGTTTATTTTATATCACATTATGGTGACAAGACATCAATGTAAGCTGCAAAGAGAGAGGTCTTCAACACTCAGAGTTTATGAGCAAGCACCAGCTCTCTTAAAGATCACAATCTGACAAATAATTTCATTGTAGGTGACTAAGTATAAATCAGCCCTACTCATTTGACAGTAACAGCTCTGCTGGAACAAAAAATATGCATAAGCACACCACTGACTAAAGACAAAATGAAACAAGAAGTGTACTTGTTTCTTTAAAGCTGTTGATTCTGTTAACCCAAAAATGTCTTCCTAAACATAAATGTGTGGTACAGCTAACCACTTTCAATACAATCTGGGTGCTTTCAATGTCTGTATTTGTTTCACAATGATCACTCCTTGGATCTCTTACTTTTTTCTGTTACTGAAATGCCTATTTTTTTTAAAACAGCCTTTAAATATTTATCTATGTATGCAGATCACAGTGAGCTTTAATCCATAGCTCTTATAACACTGACAATTTTGTGGAGAACCTGCATTGACCAAAAATGGCAAAAAAATCAAGGACCTATTAAGTAACCTCAAAACAGGAAGACTGTTAAGAGCACAAAACGATAGTTCATCTGCTGGCACTTGTTTACAGTGAACACTGTAACGTACAGTCAAGTAGACAGGTGTCTGACGGGCCTGTTGTGTCTGCATCTTACCTTCTGAGGTCTGCTGCAGCGTCACAATCAGACAGTGCACGCGAAGGTCAAGAATCAAGTCCTGGATCACCTGCAAGAGGTCATTGGGAATTTCCAGGGCTGCCAGGGCTTCATAGCTCATTCTGTGTGGAGATTAAAGAGCTAAGTTAGGGTTAGAGTGAAACACAGGTGATGTTTGTGGCACTGTATCAATAAAAAAGGACCTTAAGCTGACCAGTTTTGAAAGGCTAGCTCTGATGCATCCATTAATACCTATTAACTACAATACAATATGACTGCATAACTGAGTGTAAACGCCAGGTGAAACAATCTTCAATAACTAACTAATTTGTTCAATGCAATACATACTGGTTAAAGATAAACTGGGAAACAGTTTGATTTTAAAGCTGCTCCAATTGCTCAGAGAAAATCCTTCTTCCACTTTGACCGGTCATGTATTTAAGAACACATTGCACAACTCTTCTGTATTTGCGAATCAAGGGTTGGATACAGAGCTTCTGTGTATTTCCTCAAAACTAAATGTTCTGAACTGGTCATGCTTTGGCTGCAAAATGTGCAATCCTTAGGTGACTTGGTCCTGTAGTGTGTTTTAGAACCAGGAAAGGTGCATAACATCAAACTCAGGGAAAATCTACTAAAATGTAGAAAAAACACATCTTGTTGTCTGACTCAAAACATGCAAATAAGAGCTCTGATCTGCATTTTTGATATTTCTGAGATGATACATGAATCAACACCCTGATGACCTGAAGACCTCATTTTTATACATCATGTTTTTAATTTGCCTTTATTTTCAAATGGAAAATCCACAGCAGAAACCAGTAGTCAAATGGGTTTGTCATCTTAAACTGACTGAATTACTGTATGTAGTTCATAGTATTGTATTTAAATAAGCATTTTTCATAAAGTAAACGACTGTATTATCAGTTCCTATTTGCAGTAAACACGTGAAACGCTATACATTTGATCTAGGGGAAATCCAAAACATTTTCTTTAAAATTTATCCAAGTTCCACTCTGGGACTGGTGTTACAAAATGCACAAGCACCACCACTGCTCAGAAAACACAAATCCCTTCAATATTTATCTGTTATTGGAATTGCCTGATGATTATGAAATGCTGACTGTAGAATGGTACTGGACCTTCTGAAGGTATTTTCTATTTGGGGGGCAGCTTTCTTGACGTCGTTCTCCAGAAAATGAGAGACGGGAAGAGCACAGCCTCTTGCCTCCAATGAAGTGGATCTTCAATAAACCAGGTCTGTACAGTTTCATGCGGGCACGACAGCTACATCCATAGATAAGTCAGAGCAGAAAAGCAGACCACAAATGCTGGTGCCATTTGGATTTGAATTCATACCTGACTGTGTGGATGACCTGTGTCAGCCACTGGCCTGAGAGCTCTGACTTGGTTTCCCAGCCACCGTAGTGCCTCAGCTCCACCTCGGACAGGCTGTTGGACAGCAGTGCCCCACGGATCAGCTTCACCAAAGAATGCATTACTTCCTGAATCATTTTCTAAAAATTAAAAAGAAATTCCAATGCACGATGACAATGCATTAAAGAACAGAAATATTCATATTTTTTATCTCCATTGACAGTCATAGGCAACTCAGAAAATACACAGATAGATAGGTAGATTTGTGGCTCCTTATTGGAAAAGGCAAGGGCACTCAGCTGTTTTTGTGGGCATTCAGTTTTTAGGTTTCTCCAATCGAACTTGTTTTTATTACACGTAACTGCAGACTTAAGTGCTGTAGGTGTCTTCCCCCACCCCCACGATTCGCATTTGTGGCAGCTTATGTCAGTCTTTCCAGACAGTGGCATAGATTTGTCTTCAATAACGTTTCACGTGAAAGCATCAGGGGTTCTACATATAAACAAAAGTGACGTACAGCTCGTGGATTAAAAAAAAAGGAATCAGCAATTGAAAGCCACTTAACAGTGGCTGCCATGTATGCACAATGGAACAAAGTCTAGCAGCAACCGGGAATTCTGCGGGAGGGATGATGCACCAGTCTTCCACAAGAAAGACAATCAAGTCGCGCCGGCTCGATGCAGGTGGAGAAAAATGCTACATTGGGCATCGTTCCTGTATTCCCCACAAATGGCTGCCTGAGTTCAGATCTGGTGACTGAGAAGCCCGTGACGTGAGGATAACATTGGTGTCACCCTCGTCAACACACCAGATGACCACCCTCTCCCCGTGGAAAGGGGGCATGGATCCTGGAAGACACCACTGCTGAAACTTGGGGGGAGAAGGTCACTCAGTACCATTATTATAGAGCGATTAGCTCTGTGCTTGCCTTCTAAGCGAGGCAGTGCCAGGAAAATGCACCCCACAATGTGACAGAACCACAATAACTCTCCACTGTTGGAGCAAACGCTGCAGAGGTCTTAAGGCCGGCGAAACACAGGAACTCTTCGTATGGTGAAGGACGATACATCTGACCAGAGCACACTTCTCCAACAAATGTGCGCTGCCACGTGTGAAGAGGGGTATGTGCATTGTCACCTGACTATGGTATCCTGTTCTGTGGAATGAGTTTTCAGGGGAACTGGCTGCTTGCAACCCAGGTTGAAATGTGCAGTGAATCGATATTAAGTTTCTTGCTGGTTCTGCTTCACATGCTGAGTTAATGCATCCATATCCTGGAGCACGCACCTCTGCCCACTCTTGCCCTTTGCTGATGATGTCTTCCCAGAGTTGCGTGCCGACATCACGTTAGACATCAATGCTCAAGAAAAACTCAGCAAGGCCGAGCTGTCTTGAACACTGAAGCTCCTGCCAAACATGCCCCCACAATCAGCCCTTTTTTGTGGTCACTGAGGCCACCTCTTGCAGCCATGTTAACTATGATTGTAGGCAATCATACCCGTCCAGCATTTTCATGCGTGCGCTGGGATACTATTTGCATAATTAGCATGAGCCATACATGTTTCCATTTTTTTATCGACTACTTGTACATCATTCATCACATGGGACTAATGAAAAAGCAATATGACAGACAGTGTTATTACACACACCACACCAACAATATTCTGCAACTATTAACAAATAATAGTCCAATCTTCACTCTCCAAGCTGCACCTTTTCCATTTTAGTTAATGTCTTTCCACAGGATTACATTTAGAGAACATACAAAAAAAAGAACTTTTCCTTAACTCATGCCCTCCCAGTCAATTTACCCTAGAAAAAGAAGAGCACTTTTTTCTCTTCCTGTCAGTACAGGAATAGATAGATTCCTGTCACTGACAAAATTTTACTGAGGTGACTTTCTTATTGCTGTGTTCACACTCAATTGCTCATAAAGCTACAAGTCATACAAAAGACAGTCATACCACAAAACAAAAGGGTCAGACAGTTCAGCCAGGCACATCACTTTTTAGAAATTATAGTTTGTTTTCTGGGATGGACCTTCATACCTTCTTCTAAATACCCACTGACACATGTTCCCAATAATTATGATTAGAAAAGAAACATCATCTTTGACCTCTGCCAAGTACAAACATGTGTGATGATGAGACAACAATTAAATGATTGCTTTAAAAAGCAGTATATAAAATATAATTTATTATTACTAGTACTTAGCTCATGCCTAAACAAAGTAAGGGGGTTTTGCAGAAATATGAATAAGATAGTAACGTTCTTTCTGCTTAAGCTTTGTCCTGTCTGTCTTTTAAAGGTCTTCAAACTATCTTGTTTCTTTCTAATACTTACACAAATCCACATTTTTGTCCAAGAACACTTACGAAACCTATTATTTCCACAATGTGAACAAAACCCAATCCCATCAGCTCTTTCCTTGAGCAGTTTTCTGCCTTGTAGTGTTTTGTTATGTTCACATGAAGGAACTCGAGGAAGTGAAAGTGACAAAAACAGAAATATACTATCTCATAATTTCATATGTAGGTGTATGTGGGAATGTTCTCATTTCAAGGTTAGTGCTTTAAAAAAAGAATTGAGCAATGGCACCCAAACATTTTCCTCCAGGCTGCCATGGTTGTGTCTGCACAAAGTTTGAAAACTTTACAGGGTTATGTTGGGATCAGTGGGATGTGGTTAAATTTAGAAGCAGTGGTAACGAAATGCAGAGCAGTAAAAAGATCTCATTGAAAATACTGCATACACTTTTTGTCACCATGTAGCCAAACTTCAAGACGTTAACACAGAACGCATGCAACAGAATGTGTCATTAATGCAACAGAAATGACATGTGGCTAAATTCATGCTCTCAAAATCCAATGCCAACCCAAACGGTTATTTCATGCTCATAAATGGAAGTGGGACCCACACATGTATATTAAGAGAAAATCATCTAGGGCACAAGACAGATGGACCGCTCTCGAGAAAATCCTTGAAAGACCAATCAAATAAGCAAACTGGAGCACATGGTCTCCTCTTGCTTGTAGCTCCATGCAAATTCAGTTGTGCAGTTGGAGATAAAAAAGGGCCGAGTTGTCTCTACCACAAGGGCTAGAAATAATGAAAAACAGGAGCATTTTCCTTCTTGTTGCTGTGATGAATTGAAATGAAAAGTTGGCAACAGCATATATAAATAGCAAAAACGGAGACTGACAAAATAACAACTTTGCTACGTGGGAAGTCTGACATTTATTGCGCACAGCTCAAGTCTTAGGCAGCAACAAAACGTCTCACCTTGAAATCATTTTGTCTCTGTCTGGCGTTTTTCTTTGACTTCTCCACCTGACCAGATTTTTCACCAGTCTGTCATGATGAACAAGACAAGAGACAAGACATTGCGTCATGAGCAATCACACAGAACCGGAGAAGATACGGACAGCTGTGACAGCGAAGTATGTTCCGCTTTAGGTTTAAAACACTAGTTTAGAGTTTATGAGTTAAGGCCTCATTGCCACCGATGGTGTACAAGAAACAAAGGAACTAACCGTGGAAAAGTTTCACAGCTCTCCTCTATTTACCCTTTACAGGTGTCTTAAAAAACATAACACCAAGAACACCAGTAATGAGGATGGTTATTGACCTTCTAAGCTGGGTACTAATCTTGCAGAAACAGCAGGAACGTTTCAATTTACTTAACCTTAATTAAAAACAACACACTGTTTGAGATGACAGAAATACAAGGCACTCTTAAAGATCATTTCGGATATAAAAATACTAGTTCACTACAATAATCATTACTGGAAATGAAAACTGGAAACAGCTGAACAAAGGGTTTCAACATCCTTCCCAACAAGGAGCTTAATAATATATGGACCTGATTTGTACTTGTAACCTTAAAAGAAAGATTGGTTAATGTGGCGTGGCGTCTGACTTTTTGCAATTACTGTTGCTTTCTTATGTTCAAAATGCACTACTTTTAATATGAGTTTTTAAACAGAGGTTATAAGAAGTTCCTTTATGAAGGCTAGGGGATTTTGCTCTTGTGAAATAAAGTATTTTAATGACCAATTCTTTTTCTAAAATTCAAACAATTTAACTCCAAAATAACTGTTGGTCAGAACCAAACTTAAGAAGTATAGCAAAAAGGGAAAGTGCTGACACCTGTGTTCCCATTGTTTCGGGAAACTTGCTCTATGAAAAAATTACCTACTGCCATCGCTGATGGCATTCCACAGATATAACATTCTAATACTGCATCTCTGCGGACACGAATAAAACCAGCTTTTCTGTTCAACAAAAATATTTTAATTGTTTAGTTCACATTTAAGAGGCCTTTCTTATTGCAGCTTTATAATAAATAAAAAGATACAACACCTGTAAAACTACTGCCTTTTGACATTTGAGTTGTACAACACTGACCTCTGCTGGAAAAATAATTAAAATGACAGATTTGCACTAGAAAAACCTCTGCACTTTGCATACCATCCACGGTGACACATTTGTTTTTAAAACAAACTGCATAAAAATGCATACACGATGGGAATGGGATTAACACGGGCATAGTCATGTCTTAAAAACTCCAAAAGCCACTTGCACAATTTGATGAGTCAGCTCTTCTCTTCTCCATTAACATGTTTAATCTGCACGTAATTAAAATGCTGCTTGGAATTATTTTTTACATTATTTTTTTACATTTGCGGTCAAAACACCTCTCACAGTTTTGCCATAGGTACAACAGCTGTACAAAAGACAGTTTATTCTGAAATCACAAAAATGACAGTCAACTACTGGATAAATGTATTTTAAGTCTACAATATTTGTACAACAGTTCATCGCAAACAAACAAACAGGTTTGTCATGCCATTGTTCTCTTCCAAACTTAAATATTTACATAAAAGAAAACTGTCAACTCGCTTGACAAATTTCTCAAATTATTCGTTTTAAAGCCAGGTTTAAAAATAACAGACTGGGTAATTTCAATAAAGAAATATGCAGGGTGTGTATTATTAAACAACATTAAAAAAAAAAACATTTTAGGAGAAGTCAGAAGTCAACAGGCGCCTCCTGTCTCTTTACCTCAGAAGACCTTTCATTACCGAGAAAGTGGTTAAGGCGTTCATACAGGCAGAAGGGCGTATGGTGGCTTTGTGGGAGTACTGGGGATTCTTGTTTGTGCCTAGTTGCAGTGCATTGCTTACAGATAAGATAGCTGATAAGGCCAAAGTCTGGTGACTAAATCAATTGGCACTAAGTTCCTTGGCCGCATATTTATTCAGTTTTAGCAAACACCAGGGTTTCCAAGCCACCACTGGGAAAAATAGCACACATTTCATGGTAAGTGACTCAGTTGCGTCCTGAATGCGGGACACGCCAATGAATAAAATACTTAGAAGAAATGTGAACTCGCGGTTTTAGATGTTTAACACTAGACAAATACGTAAATCCACAAAAAACTTAACTAAATGCTAAAGGCACCTGAAAAGCCTGGGAGTTTAAGAATTTGGTAGATTTCAAAATAGCATGACATGTATATGTTCAGGTGGGTAGCTGCGTCAGCATGCGTAGGCTGCAAAGGAACAAGTAATAGGTTTATTCCATGCTGAAAAAAAAGAAAAAAAGAAAACACAACGTTTCGGCCATGGAGCCCTCACACACCTGAAGAAGGGTCCGCGGCCGAAACATTGTGTTTTCTTTTGACATGTATATGTTGACCATGTTGCATTACTTTAATAGTTTACACCACAATGGAAACTTTCAAAAGAAGCCAGTCAGTACCTCGCTGAATAAGCTGCCATTTACATAAGAAATCCAGAGCTTCCAGAAGTTAGGCAGCTGATTGAAGACAACTTCAGTCAGGTTTTCAACAAACGTCACCTGGTGTGGTCCCTTGAAACACCAAGCTGCGGAAAAAACAAACCAAAGTTTCTGTATCTGACCATTATGGAATATGATGTGAAAACATTCAATTTTTTTGTTCTAAAGAAGTGAAATCAAATCATGAGTGACATTCCTAAATTTAAGAAGCTCTCTGCAGGTTAACAAACATTCACATCAAATGAATTATATCTGAAACGCTATTAAAATGTTATATGGGACTATTGTTTTATATTTGTGGTGGAAACACTTCTCATGGTTTGGCCATTGGTACTGTACATCAGCTGTAAAAAAATACTGAGTTTGTTCTAAAACTGTTAACAATTACTTTATCACTCTATATATACTGGATAAATGCATTCTAAGTCTGCTGTAATAGTAAAACATCTCATTGCAGTGAAGTACTGCATTGAGTAAAGCTCTTTACTTCCAAACCTTACTGCTAAAAGGTTAGGCAAAGTGGAAACTGAAAGTTTGCTGTAGAAATTGGACTTCTCATTCCACAATTAGAAACTGTAGAAAGAAAATAAAAAAATCAGACTTTGAAAATTTGTATATACAAAATTAGTTTCTTTTTGTGATGTCCAAAGACTCATCCCATATACAGAGAAGATGCAATGTTTTTTTATCAACTTTTTTTCACAAGTTTACCAATAATACATACTGTATATTTCTAAATAAGTTAGTACTCAGCACTTAATTTATAGCGATATCGTATACATTTCCATTGCATCCGTGTTCTGCAACAAGGTTTAAAACTAAATGCAGGTTGTTCTTGTTTCACCTGGTCTTTGTGCGATTTTTATTTGAACTGCCTGAAAAATATATACCATCTCTTAATTTAGGATAAATCAGTTCTCATTTTATCATCCCTGGGACTGGTTAGCAAAACACACTTGAGGAAGAGTTTGAGACGATACAGGCTGTGCGATAAGACACTCGGGTGACACACAGGCAGCTGGGGAATCTGTCTCGCTGTTCCTCCAGCCTCCACTCATCTCCTATATCAGCCTCAGTGTTTCAACATGCACCCAGGAAACGTCTTCATCGTCTGCGTCTCTACCTTATGTCCATAGCGAACAAAATCTAAAAATCAATAATACCCCCAAAACAAAAGTAAGCTCCTGCATGAAACAAATATCTTACAAATCAAATTCAATGCAAAGAATTTACCACTAAAACACTCTTAGTTTAAAACTATGGGAAAATGTGGAGCTTCAAAAGCCTTTATAATTTAAGGAGCAGCTGGGCTTCACTTGCTTTAAAACTGTTTTAGGGTATTTCTCAAAATGAAATATGCTGGCACTGCAGCCAAGTCATATTTGAATTCAACGGAGGGGGGGGGGGGGTATTTCAACTAATGTCAAAAGATATTTTTAAAAAGCTGTTTTTATTATTCACAATATTTCAAAATGATGACTCACTCAACAGTCAAAAGAACGGAACAGGTCTGATTAGATTACTTTTTCCTTGCCCCAAAAGACAAAACCCTTGATATAAAAAAGAGATTTTGCATCTAGTTTTTAAAAAATAAATTACTAGGAATTATAAAATTTCCATTGGGGTATGGAAACTTTTGATGACAGTTGTACGCAGGTACTGATAAAGGACTTTGCCTTGTTAATCACGATAAATCTTCCCTCTTAAACCTTATCTAAACCCTATTTGAAAACTGTGTGTTTTCTATACTGAAAAACATACAAAAATGCAACAAATGTGTACTGAAACCATTAAAATTTACTGTAGTTTTAGCTTCTCCCTGTATATAAAATACGTCTTTCGATATTTCTTCACTTTCATAACAAAGCATACTACATGAATTTAGCCTTTTATAGAATACTATTATATATATAATAATTTACAAAAATTGTACTGCAGTCCTTCCAATACCGATGACCTCAGAAATGCAAATAATAAAACCAAGAATAATGTATCAAGTATCAAGTATCAAGTGCAGGGAGACCAACATAAAAATGCTGCCAGACGACAAAAACATCATGCATCTCGAGGTAAAATAAATCAGAGCCACGAAGATCAAAAACAAGGCAAATTTGAGACAAAGCTCAGTTCTCAACCAAGATTTCTCTTGAGACACTATAAATGTTGTGTTAATTGTATCTGCTTTGGCAACGCTGTAATTCATCAGTCATGCCAATAAAGTTCTTTGAATTTGAATTTGGCAATGGGAAGAGTCAGATTTTGGCAGACAGGTTCACCGTTGAAAGAAAGGCACGCATCACCTGCAGAACAACGGTCTCATAAATTTAATTTCTGAACTTCAGGCATGGTCATTCTAACACTACCCGAGACTTGGACTGTTGCCGAAACCCTGGCAAAGTTAGAATGTCAACGTTCCTGTTCCCTCCAAGGGGAACTCCGGCCTCGACAAAGGGTAGCAGCCCGAGCTCAGAACCAAAGGAGATGTCTCACACTCGTCACGGGGGGACTGGAAGCTGGTGTCTCGCTTCAGAGATGCGCTCTGGCTCAGACGGCTGACCAGCGAGGGGCGCACATCGGGGTCCAGGTCCAGCAGAGCGCCGTGGGTCCCCCCTGCACCTGCGGTGCCTGCGGAGATCAGAGCAGAGGCCCGCGGACACCGTGAGGACAGGACATCCGCGCTCAGACTGGGTACCACATCATTCTAGCTCAGCTCTGGTGCACGCGCGCGAGACCTGCTAAAGGAATGGGACGAGCAGACGTCCGGGACAACCCAACTTCTGCTAAAACAAACAACCTTTTCACGAATCTGCAAACAGCAGGGTTACACTGGGATTCGTTCATCATCTCAGCAACCGCTGAAAATACATTTACTGCAGACTGCTTTGTTTTCTTCCCCTTTAATTGCCCGTAGTCCAAAGAATGCTCCCTTGTTCCACGGGGAAAAAAAAAAAAAACACAACATCAGTTTGCACCAGTTCGAGGAAGCAAGAGCTTCATACAGAATAATTCCTTAATTGGATGTCTAGCGTACCTAACGTTTAACAGAGCTCGAGGGAAAAACAGCAGCTCCTCTTCCCCCACGCCAGAGGACTCTTAAACATCTGGCAGCGATTAAGCCGAAGTCGTCTTCCCCCATCCCTCCAGAAGGTAGCGCTGAAGCACTGCTCACAGGGCAGGATGCGCTACCATAGCATTTCTACAGCTGAGATGCCCGAGGATTACTGCAACCAGTTAACCTAACATGGCCTCTTCTGCTTTGGATGTCATTTCTAATTTCCTGGTGAACCAAGCTAAATGGTCTCTTTAGAACGAGGGGAAAAAAAAGTATGCCGTAAGTATTACAATACTCACGTGTCACACAGTAAAAGCTAGAAGAGCTGCTTTAAAGCAAAACACGAACTTGCAAAAATAGCAAGTCTTTTTTTAGTAATGAATACAGTTTAAAGGTCCAAAAGTTAGGTACACCAAAATTATTAGACATAAATATTGGGTGGATTCTCACAGTTATGGCAAAGCAACTAACTGCATAAAATAAAATATTATGTTAGGCAACAAGATATAATGTTTATCTAATCTAGTGAGATATGAATGTCTTATGGAAGGTTTAAGACAGGAACTGACAGGCATATGAATGTTATTTTAAAAGAATTCCACTATAACCCAGGTAAGAAAATATACAGAATAATGTATACACTATGAAGATATGCGTCCTCATTGGCAACACTGCTTTATGTTAGCATTGTTTGTTCAATGCTGCAATTTCTATTATGTTTTAAAGTCAGAATGTTTATAAACTAAGACAGAATACAGAAAGAGTGATTGCTAGATACAGATATAGACTGATGCACTTTGTTCAGGATTTGAGAAAAATATGACCAAAACACCGCACTGCCATGTGTACTCTCTAATCCCGTTTGTCCAAACAACTAGCTGATTGCCGCCAACGCAAATCCCGATATTTTGTTTTGATCAGAATGCAGTCTTGTGCATAGGGCAGAAAAAACACAGGACGAATAAAAGACAGAATTTCCCACTCAGGATCAGAACTGAATGTTTTCACAGATGAGACTTTCCTGGAGAGAGAATTTTTTTTTTTTTAGAAGCACTGAAACGCGTGGGCGTACGTTACGCGAATCAGACTTTTTTTTTTTCTCCCTGTGTTTCCCCCCTCCGTTTCAAAACAGGGATGAGGAACCATTGTTGACCCAGGTGCCTAGTGAACTTTCTCATTGGGCTCTCTGTGTTTTTCGCTGTCTGTGCGAAGACTCTCACAGCCCCGCGAGCCCGAGAGGGAATGTGGACGGTTCTGCAGGCCCTGTCCTCTCTACAGGGTGGCAGACTTCCTCCACAACCCTTAAACACCTTTGAACAGTCTTTCCTGTGCACAGCGGGGCCTTGTCCTGCGCCTCAGCCTGACCACCCACAGTTGCTTGCTGACTAAACAAGCTGAGCCCTGGGCCGCCACTGCTCTAGTCTCTTCGCGGACACGGCAGCGCTGAGATCCCGGGGAAAAGGCCACGCAGAAACAGCCCTCAATTGTGAGGGGAAGGAATCAGGAGGAAGCCTTACGGGGAGAGTGCTCTTCAAATCAAACAAACAGCTAATCACTGCAAGATTAACCTCTTCTTGAATTCGTGTCGTTCAGAGGAGCTTCTGCAGGAGCAGGGGTGGAGACAGTCCCTCACTACGCCTCTTGGGCAGAAACTGTTTCGAGGTGTAAAACAAAGTGCCCCGCATCAAACTCATTTGGAGCACGAAAAGCTTCCTAAAATGACACAACACAATGATTTACAGGGGGCACTTTTTCACACAAAAAAAAATCACATAAGACCCGATTGCTTGCAATGGAAACACAACCTTACCCATCCAAAATCAATAAATGCATATTGGAAATATATATATCTAATATCTGGTCCCGTGTTAAAGGTGGAAACATTTTTTTAAACATAAGAATGTGGAAAAATGTGTTATTTTCTTAGAAGCTCTGATTCTGGTATGGTTTAAATTATTTGACACTGGTTAGAGCCTCATCAAGTAATCATAAAACAAATATCTATTCCCATTAAAACTCGATTTTGGTAGGGTGTACATTACAATGTGTTGGTCATGTGAATTATTCACAACTAATGTGAATAATTAGTTTTATTAAAACTAATTTAATAAAGTAATATTGTACATTTAGATATACTTGAAACTCATACCTCATCTCAGCTTATTACACATTCATTTATCCTAACACAACGCAGTTAGGACTAGTATTTAACTAATTTACAACAGAGGATTTAAACACTTTTTTCTCCAACTTTTGAAACAAACATATCAGCATTTGTAAAAAAAATACAGTAAGTACATACTCACATCTTGCAACAATTTATTGCACTAGAAATCTTAACAAATCCTTCCAATAATGAGTGTTAATGCTTTTTTTTGATACATCCAATAAAATACATTTTACTGTCTACTGCACAAGTTAAACAATATCTATTAAACTTAATAAACTATTGAAAAATACTGAAAGGAGACAGTGCGTACAAATACTTAAGTAAGGTGCACAGCCATGATTATATTTTATTATATTAAACCTTTTTACTAAGCACAAAACATAACAGATTTGACAAGATCCTGTTACTCAGCTGTCATCTGTGGCCCGTACTACTGAGTGCGAACATGAATTTTCCGAAGCAAAGTCTTTATAATGTCAATGTGCATACTACTAAAAAAGCACATATTTTTATAAGAATGATCGCACTTTTATTCCATTATCTAAGGTAACTGACATTAAAAATAGCTTAGAGGGTTTTTAGTCTTGAAAGACCCCAAAACTCCACGATTTTCCCCAAACTGTTCAATTTTCAGAGGCTCAATGCCAGGAGGGCTTATTTTATGAAAGTGCCAGAAAGCTACACCTCCTCACAGGGTATTCGTTTTGGAGCTGAAAATATGTTGGAATGTCACGTGCTTTTACAGCGACAGAACTGCGCAGCACCAAGAGCCAAGAGCAGCTTTTGAACCACAAAAAAAAAAAATACAGGAGACAGATCACTGTCTTTGACAATTACTTGCCTATCAAATATCACCAACTTTCGTTACTCTGCAACTACTTAACGGGAGACTAATTTGACAACCCAGTGCCCCAGGCAATTAATATGACACATATAATAAGTCATATCTCCATCTAAATGGAGATGAATGAGTAAAAGCCTACGAGGGATGGTTTACCTTGTAAATATTTTTGTTCGGGATGGGGTCTGGTAGTGGGGGATGTGGTCGGGCCTTCAAAATGCTGCCAGCTGCAAAGAGGCCTTTTTCCTCAGATGTACAGTAAGTGGAGGCAGTGGAAGAGAACCAGCTGCTAGGATAACAAATTGAGAAAGCCCTTTTGACACGGAGCGCGGTGGGCCTGTCTGATCCTACAAAGACGGATCATTCATTGCAAGGTGAACGGCACCTTTGGCACGGGCCCGGGCGGCGAAGGGGGACCTGCTGCTCTCCGCCCCCGCCCCTTCCTGAGCCCCGTGGGCAGGGCGGCTGCTGTTATTCCGAAGCCCCGAGAGGGAAACGGCATGGGGCTCCGCTGAGCCGCTTCTTCCAGCGGCCGGACTGCAGACGCGTTCCGGATCGCACTGTAAGTACGCCTCCGGGCGCGTGCAGACCTGACCGCCTGCCCCGCGAGGTTAGCGCGCCGAGGCCAGGCCGTCATTTCATCAGCGGAACGCGCCTGCAACCTTCAACTGCAGAAAGCTCCGCCCGTTTGGCACCTTAAAACGTCTTTAAAGCTTTAATAAAAACTTGGTTTTTCGGATTCTGTATAAGGCTGAGGTATTACCAGTTGGGATTTCAGTGTTTTCAACTTTTACAACAATAAGCATATCAGAAAAATCTGAGAACAAACTCTCTATCACTCTGCATCTTCCATACCACTCTCTTGTAAGCTGCAGACACGGTGTTGGAAATAAATAACATTTTTGGCATCCTTCATAATTTAAAAACAAAATGCATGACTGAATAAAATAAAACTAAAAACCTACTGTCATTAATAATTAGGGAACTAACATGCTTCTTGAAATGATACTGCATAATTAGTAAAAAAACTGGATCCTAATTTTCCTGGATCCTAGGAAACAAACTGTAACAATGTTACTTTTAAGACATTAATTTCAGGGTTAGGACTGATACTGTAATGGTACTGTGTGAATGAAGAGTAAAACTACAGATTTGTATCTCCTGCAGCCAAGAATGCCATCTCAAACCACTTGAAAACCAATGGAGGACAATAAGGACCCAGAACTGAAAGTAAACTGAAACTATTACAACAATGTGAGTTTGGGTGATTAAAACGAAGGACCAATATGAAACTGTGAGATGACATCCAATTGCCAATTCAACTTTTTTATTTAAATTGCGATTGTAACACAAAGTTACAAAAATATTCAATTTTTACTTGCACTTCATGTCTTTAAGTCTATTTATTCATAATTTATCATTTATAATCAATTTATTCATAAATACTACTAATAACTAAACAAGCAAATGGGACAAAGGTACCAATTGCAAATAAATAAGACAAATTCCTGTAACATTTATCAAATTCCAAATAACATAATATTTATTTAATCTTAATCTTAATGCAGCTCTGACTATGTCCATGTATTTCTATGTATTTACTAATGTTACACAAATTAAAGCAGTATCCTTTGCAAATAGCATTATTTTCAACCTGTGTTTTTTAAAAAGCTACATACCAAGTAACATTCGCACTTCACCTGCAAAGGCACAACGAGAGTGCTCGATTCACGACAAAGTGAACGGCCACAAACTGCAGGGCCATACAATGCCCGGCATCAAGGTCCGCACATCTTCGGCATTTGCTCAAAAATAATATACTGTAGGTGGTTCTTGTAATAAGAAAACTAAAACGAGCATCGACAAGAGATTTAATATTTCTGGGGCAAACAAAGTATCCAAAGCTGCCAATTAAGGCAAAAGAGGAGGGGGGGGGGCGTTCACTCAATCTATAAGCTTCCCAAAGCTGTATCAGCTGAAGCACCTGTTCAGAAAACTACAGAACGATGAGCAAGGTCTGTGGGGTCTCCTTGACTCGTGCTCCTCACTAGCTGCTCAATCCGATCCAGGAGGCCGTCAGCCTAGACCAACGGGCCCAACACAAGCTCTAGCGAGAGGCTCCTGATTGGCATTCCAAGGTAAGCAAAGCAAGTCACCAAACAGCTCGCGGCAAACTCAGAGCAAACCATGCGTCAGGGTCTCGTTCTGAGAAACAAGGACTGTCTTGAATCTTGACCCTTCTCACTTATCCTGTTAAAGTAGAGTAAAACAATACTGTCCCATTTTCTCGGCACTTTCTCAAATAAAAAAAGCAGCTTGAAATGGAAATTTCAGAGGATCTATGTCGGCTTTTTATATAACATCTGTTTGTAAAAAGAACGTCATATAAAGAATGTGAAATGCTCTGCTCATTTATGACACTGCAGCAATTTAAAGGCTTATCATAGTTAAGGTAAAATGATGATAATTTAGTGGCTAAGGAGCAGCGTTTCATTAGGTGTTAAGTATTACAATAGAAAAAATGTCCCTTATTTATATACTGTAATCGTGAGTTCATGTGGGATGTTTTCCAGTTAAAGTATAGCAGTTATAATATTTCATTAACATAAAACCATCAATATAATTATTTCCAAATCAACACGTTAGTGCATTTTCCGAGTTGTACCTTTATTACTTGAGGTTTCAAATGCCAGTCACATGCATTTCATAAGAAGAACAGTAGAACTTTGCGACATTTGATCTATTAAATAATAACTGCACATTAATTTGTAAACATTTTTCCAAAATCATTGAACACTTAATGCACAAATTAAGCTGGGTTTATTTTTGCACTTTTCCTCAATAAAATAAACCCATTTTTATTCTCCAGTTATGGACAACAACGTAAGAAAGAGAAAGAGAAATCCATTTATTCCAGTGAGCTCATTTGGTGAGTAAAAAGTAATGATATTCAAGGTACTTGTTTACTCCTTAAAATTAAACTAAACCAAATCAATTATTTGACTTTACTAAAATAAAACAGTGCATCTTTTTTGTACACAACATTTTAGCTAAGATAAACTGGAATTGTCTTATTTTAATTATTCTAA